GTGGTGTGTGTGGTGTGTGTGGTGTGTGTGGTGTGTGTGGTGTGTGTGTGTGTGGTGTGTGTGGTGTGTGTGGTGTGTGTGGTGTGTGTGTGTGTGCGTGTGTGTGTGTGTGCGTGTGCGTGTGCGTGTGCGTGTGCGTGTGCGGGTGCGTGTGCGTGTGCGCGTGCGCGTGCGCGTGCGCGTGCGCGTGCGCGTGCGCGTGCGCGTGTGTGTGTGTGTGCGTGTGTGTTTGTGTGTGAGTGTGTGTGTGTGGGGGGGGGGCGAGAAGCGGCAGAAAGTACCGACCGCGCTGATCCCCTCACATGTCCTCCTGCAGGCGGATTTTGGAGGACAAATGAAAATAGTCAGAACATCATCAACAATAATCAAAAAGTGCACGAACAATCGTCACCATACTACTTTTTAGAATAGTCTGGAACATTCCTCCTGTAGATGGATACGCCCGACTTAAAGCTGGTCCTCCCTGCCCCCAGCAGGTACCCCTGGCTCTCGAAGGTCGCCATGTCGCAATCGAGGTCAGGTCGCAAAGGAGTCGAAGAGGGGGTCTGAGGGGGTTCCCAGGGGTGTCCAGGGGGGGGGAGGGGGCTGTCCAAGGAAGGGCCATTGGTCAGAATACGGTCCCGCTCCCTGCCCTGTCGGGTCATGTTCTAGCACATGTAAACCTTCTTCGGCAACTTAGGTCCGGTACGGTCGAAGAGGGAGCAAGAGGGCCCAAAAGGGTCCCAAGAGACTCCCAGGAGGGGCTCCAGAGGAGAACCCGAATTGCAATGTCGAGCCATTTCTTTAAAGATAGCCTCCGAGACCGCCGGTAGGCTCCCGAAAGACCCCAACAACCAAATCTGAAGTCCAAAATGCGCTCGCAAGGAGCCCCAAGAGACCTCAGAAGTAACTCACACAGGCCTCCCTAGCACCAGTTCCCTAGCACTAGCGCGCCTGCGGGTGGCACACCAGGTCTGCGAAGCAGATATGTAGCAACCAGAGTCGTAGTTAGCAGTGCATGGTGAGGGGAAGCATCAACGCAGCGCGCACCCGAACCGTGAGCATTTTGGCCCGTGAGCCGCCTCGCGCGGTGTGCGTCGCAGCCACCGTACTTTTAGCCCTGATCCTGAGAAAAACTATGCGTTCACCCTCCCAAGAGACCCCCCACGAGCCTCTACGAGTCCGCGACCTTCCTGGGGGCCTTCCTGCGGATCCTCCTTCAGGGTCGGCGGAGCCGGCCAGGAAGGCCTCTCCAGTAATAGAACTACTCGAGCGCCTCGACCCTCGAATCTCGAGTCTGGACGACGACGACGACGAAGACGACGACGACGACGACGACGACGACGACGACGAGAGCGGCGGCGGCGGCGGCGACGGCGAAGGCGATGGCGGGGGCCGCGGACGGCGCCGCGTCCGCCACGGCGGCGGGCGCACGCGCGCGGGGCGGTCTCCGCGGGTGGTGCATTAGCAGGCCGCGGTGTGGTGGTGGAAGGGGGGGGGGGGGAAGGAGGAGGGACGGGGGGGAGGAGGTGGACGACGGAGCGGGTCAGGAAAGCGGGCACACAATCACACTGGCAGGCCGTCTGTCACAGGCCACACGGGATGTAGCAAGTCTGCTGTTTGGGAGAAATGTGCATTGCTTGCGTGTCAGGGCCTTTCAGGCACAATTACACTTTCCGAGAGGACCAGCGGTGAACCACGGAAGCGTCGAAAACTCTTGGACTGCAGTATCCGCCGCCGTTGCTGCTATCACTGCCGGCGCAACTGCAACGATTATGCTGGCGGTGTTGGCGGCGTTTTTGCTATACTTGAAAGACTCTGGGTTGGAGGGACAACCGCTGCCCGTGCTACTTACTGATACGGCTCGCGTTCCTGGTGCTGCAGGTAGTGCACTGTGCTGATGGTACTGATGCTACCACTCCTGCTTTTCCTGCGGGTTTGCTGAGACGACGATTGCTACATCTACTGTTGCCGCCTGCTGCTGCTTCTGTCGGCGCGACTGGTGTTCACTGCTGCACCCACTGCGGTTGATGTTCATGCGGTTGCTGTCGCGCCTGCTTTCCCTGTCGCGATCGGTGTCTGCAAGTGCTGTCGTGCCTGTTCTTCGGTCCTGCCGCCTCTTAACCAGTACCACCTGGCGACTGTGCAGCACAAGCGCCTCGCCTCTCCTCCTGCGCCTCCTCCCCTGCCTCCTCTCATCCCCCCTCCTTCCCATCCTCTGTTTCCTCTCCTCCGCCACTGGATGGCATCATGGTTCTTAGATGCCCCAAAAGAAAAACCGCCAATGCGCTTTGTGCCCCGTCCTCCGTTGCCCTGCCTCTCCCTGCCAGCCCTGCTCCACGCGCAGGCGCGTAAGGAGGGCCCGCCCGGTCAGGTGGATCTTTTTTTCGGACCTGTTTGGCTGGGCACCCAACGTGCAGAATTGGTAACCGAGTTGTTGGGCTACTTGTTGATTGAGGGCTTTGCCTTGCGGCTACACCGGTTGCTGCAAGATTGTTTGCTCTTCGATTCTCGGTACTACTCGTGTGGCGATGTACATCGATAGCTGGTTGGTGCAATTCTGTGCTGCCTCCGCTGAGCTGGGCCGGGCTGTTGGCGCTGTGCGACGCTGCCCTGAGCTGGGCAAAGTGGAACAGATGCTGACTTAGCCACAACGCGAGCTGTTACCCAGACGGCCAACGGGGCATCCATTTGTGGATGCACCCTGCTGTCACAGCAAGGCATGTGGGGAGCCGGGGACACGAGCAACAAACAAACAACAACCGGAACACAATAGCGCACCCGACCCAAACAAACATGAATATGTTTCGAACTCTTCCGCGCGGAGGAAAAGATCATACAAGACACACCTGCGTCCCACGCCTGCTTGCCATCCCAAATTCGCAGAAGAAAAGAGCGGCCTCGAAAGAAGGAAAGGAGGAAGGGGAAGGAATGGGTTCCGAAGCTGCATGTGTGCCAGATGGTTGTCCGCAGCGTCTTGGGGGTTAGGTCGGGCACGTCCCCCTACAGGCGGATTTTGGAGGGCAAATGAAAATACACCAAACATACTCCAAACCATTCATAAAAATCAAACCGTGTCCCCAGACTATCGTTTGACAATTTTTCCCCACATCCAAAGTGGGGTCCTTGTTTTCTCTGCACACCCCGCGCAGGAACACTCACCCCACCCCCTCTCCTTTTCTGCCTTCGCACACTCACTCACTCACTCATCATCATCACCACTCACTCACACTCACACTCACTCACACTCTCTCATCATCCACATCAGCATCATCACTCGCGCTCTCTCACACGCTCAGTCACTCACATACTCATCATCATCATCATCATCATCATCATCATCATCGTCATCATCATCATCACTCGCACTCTGTCACACGCTCACTCATTCACATACTCACCTGGAGGAAGTCTCCGGCGGGAGCTTCGTCTGTGAGTGAATTGTGAGGAAGTCTCAGGCGGGAGCCCCCTCCATATGGGGCCCGCAGATCATGTTGGTAATCCGAGCGGGTCATCAAACCCTGTAACTGTCGTCACTTTTGGGCTCCTCAAGCTTGAGTGCGGGGGAAGTCTCAGGCGGGAGCCTCGTCTGTGAGTGAATTGCGAAGAAGTCACACGCGGGAGCCCCTCCCTATGGGGCCCGCGCTTCATGTTGATAATCCGAGCGGGTCATCCAAACCCTGTAACTGTCGTCACTTTTGGGCTCTTCAGGCCTGAATTTGGAGGAAGTCTCAGGCGGGAGCCTCGTCTGTGAGTGAATCGTGAGGAAGTCTCAGGCGTGAGCCCCCTCCCTATGGGGCCCCCAGATCATGTTGATAATCCGAGCGGGTCATCCAAACCCTGCAACTGTCGTCACTGTTGGGCTCTCGCGCTGCCAGAACGCCACTCCTGGGCCACATTGTGCATGCCCGGACCAACTGTAGGCCACTTCGTGTTCTTCGTGTTCCCAGAACACCATTCCCGGGACACATTTTGAAACCCCTGAGCCAACTGTAGGCCACTTCGTCTCTTCCTGATCCCAGAACACAACTCCCGGGCCACATTCTGGATGTCCGGAACCAACTGTAGGCCACTTTGTGTTCGTCGTGTTCCCAGAACGTCATTCCAACTGTAGGCCACTTTGTGATCGTCGTGTTCCCAGCGTCCGAAGACGCCGACGACGACGGCCAGGCCGAGGCGCGGGCGCGGAGTTTGCTGATGTTCAGGCCCAGCGAAAAGGAGCTCACATGGCAGAGCTCGGGGCCGCACAACGTGCGCCGCTCGGGGTTCACCCTGACCCACGCGTCCTACCTGACCTCCACGCTGTCGCACAGCCAGATGCTGCGCAACGGCGTCACCATCGACTGCGCGAGAGACGAGGACGCTGGCCGCACGGGCATGTCTGACGAGCACTGGTGGCTGCACCTCTTCGTCATGCTCTCCCGCGCCACGCTCATGCGGAACATGCTGATCCTGCGGCCGCCGCCGCGGGAGTTCCTGGAGCGAGGGCCGCCTGCGTCCTTGCGGAAGGCGCTCCTGGAGTTCGACAAGAGAGCGGTTTTGTCCAGGGCGGACGCGAAGCAGCTCGCGGCAGAGCTGGGCTTCGCGCTGCCCGCCTGAGCGCGGCTGCGCCCCGCTCGAAGCCCGCGGGGTTGTTCCAACGGTTTGGTCTTGCGCGCAAGCGGCTCGCGGGGTTGTCCCGACAGCCTGGCCCGCGGGGTTGTCCCAACGGCTGCGCGACGTGGCCATTAGAGAACGCGCCTGTGCTGGCCGATGCGGCGACGGCGCCGAGGAAAACCGACATGCGCGCTCGTGCAATGGAAAGGCGAGGCGGTGGCGGGGCGCGAAAAAAACAGGAGGGCGAGGTCGGGGGCAACGTAGGGAGCGGGGGGAGGGCCCGCGCCAGGGCGAGAAAAAATATACGCAGAAGAGACAGTCAGGACGCCTCACCAACCACGAGGACGACGGTGAGCGTTTTTTTCCAGATTCGCCCTGAAGATTCTCATGTGGGGTCCTTCCGTCGGAGTAATTTCGAATGCTCGTCCTGTAGAGGGACGCGCCCGACTGAAGTCTTGGACTTTGCGGCAGGCAAGCGTTGAACCCCCAAGATCTGCGGCGCGCGTACTCGGGCGCGCGGTCCCTTCGCCGACGCCGCCTTACCCCGCCCCTGCGTTTGCAGTTCGTCATCGCGGCGCTCGTTCCCCAGGATCGGGCCTCACACACATGCGCAAACATGAAGAGCTACAAACGGCATGGTATTAAAACGTGTGGCGTGTTTATTTGCGTCGGCGCGTGTGTTGCATAGTGCGTCGCGTTGCTCTCCGAGCACCGTGTGGAACGGAGCGGAGCGCCGAACCAGTCCCAGAGGATGGCCCCACACAGGAGCGCGGCGGTATGGCCGCAGCCCTCATATGGCAACGAGGACGTTGAGTGAAAAAGCTGATCAAGTACCACGCACGTGAGTTCCTCCGCCTCGGCTTGACCTATGATGGGCCCGTTTCCCGGATAATGGAAGAAAAAAAGCGAACGATGAGCTCTGGACCGGATGAGGAGGGTGACGGAGGAGTGAAACGGAGTTGGAAAGGGTGCGGTTCCTTGTTCAGGCCCTGAAAGGGCAGAAACAACGCCCCGAAGAGAACGGCACTCAAGAGTGGCAAAAAAGGGGTGGTCCCCGGAGGCCCCATGCCAGGAAGGAGGGGGTTGGGATAGGATAGCCAATTGACGGCGTCGTCAATGAAAAGAAAATTGAAACCCCACACTGCCTGGGCATGTGCAGTGTGTTGGGAGTGACCTAGTGCACCTCGGTCGCCCCAAGCCTCGAACGGCCTAGGAGGGGAGTGGGATTCAGAGGTGCACGTACACGTCCAACGCCTCCAGGACCGATGCCAGGAAGGAGGGGGGAAAGGAGGGAAGGAGGGGGATGGCAGGGTGGCAGTCCAGGGCGCGGCGGCACTCAGAACGTGGAGGTGGGGCCTCGCGGCACGGGCGGGCTGCGCGCGATGCGCGGAAGTGGGCACGTTCCTCCTCTTTCCCATCCTTCCCTCCCAGCCTCCCTCCACGTCCTCCCTTTCTCCCCCCCTCCTCCTCCTCCTCCTCCTCTTTCTGGTGCCTGATTCCTGGCGGCTTGGAATCCCCCCGACAGGTTTCCTCCTCCTTCTGGTCCTCCTCCTCCTCCTCCTCCTCCTCCTCCTCCTCCTCCTCCTCATTCTGCTCCTCGTGCTCCGCACTCCTCCCCCTCATCCTCCTCCTGCTCCTCCTCCTCTTCTTCCTCCTTTTCCTTGTCCTGCTCCTCCTTGCTCCTCTTCCTCCCCCTCCTCCTCATCCTCCTTTTCCTCCCTGCTCCTCCTTCTCTTCCCTCCTCCTCCTTCTTCTCCTCCTCCTCCTCCTCCTCGTCCTTTTCCCTGCTCCTCCTCCGTATCCTCCTTCTCCGCCTCCTCCTCCGTCTCCTCCTGCTCCCTGCAACCCGCCTTCCCTCCCTCGTCCACACCTGCTCCCGGGTGGGCATCGACCTCTCTCAACCCGCGGCACGGATAAAACCCAAACCGAAGCACTTCACCGATGTCGTCGGCAGCCTGCGCATGCCGCCGCCCGTCGTGGGCGAGCACACACTTTGCGTGCCGACGCTCGTCGACACGCCGGCGTGCCGACGGGTTCAAAACATGATCGCCGAGTCCAAGCAAAGTCGCCGATGGTGAAGGACCGCGGGCGGCACAGAAACTCACACAGGTCAGCCCAGAGACGAGTTCAGTTGCCGTTGGCGCCTGCCTGCCCAGGACAGCGCAATTGGACGACATTCTCCTCCCCCTGCTCCTCCTCCTCTTCCTCCTCCTCTTCCTCCTCCCTCCTCCTCCTCCTCCTCCTCCTCCTCCTCCTCCTCCTCCTCCTCCTCCTCCTCCTCCTCCTCCTCCTCCTCCTCCTCCTCCTCATCATCATCATCATCATCATGGTCCTCTTCCTCCTCCTTTTCCTCCTCCTTTTCCTCCTCCTCCTCCTCTTGTTTCTCCTCCTCCTTTTCCTCCTCCTCCTCCTCCTCCTCCTCCTCCTCATCCCGCTGGTCATTTTAAGGCTGCGTCCTCGCGACCACGGTGGAGCACTATGGTTACCCATGACATGGAGGAGTGATAATTATCCGGGCGAAAGACCCAACCATATGCAGTTGTGAGTACCGTGATAATGAATATCTTCTTCGGTGGCGCCCACGAACCGCATGGGGAGCGTGCCGAAATGTGGCGTGGTACACAACGCGAAGGAAAACGTTTGGTCGAATTACGAGAGACTGAACGCGGGTGAATCTGAGCGCGAGTGAGTCTAAATGTGAACGAGTCTCTGCGCGCGAGCGAATATATTTGCACGAATGCGATCATGGCTGCGCCTCGTGTAAATGTATATGAATGCCAACGATTCGGGCATGCCTGTCTGCGCACTCGCGACACTGAGCGCGGCCGCCGTAGTTTGCGGGAACCCCGGCGGCATCGTTCGCGCGCCGCGACGCCCATGTCGGCACGCCCCTCACGAGGATCGCGCCCGCTTCCTTTCCTTATTTTCCTCCCTTTTCGCCCGCGCGCTCCAAAGTCCAAAACTGCGGGCGCAGCGCGGCGCGGAGCCCCCGCGACGCGCGCCGGTCGCCCCAGAAGGGCCCCAGCGACGCGCGCGGGTCGTCCGCTGCGCGGAGCAAAAAGATCTAGCTAGCTAGATGGCTGGCTGAGAGGCGGGCAAGGCTCTGACCGCAGGGCAAAGCGACGACGGGCGAGCGAGGCGCAGGGAAAAACGCAGCGCGCAGTTCCCGCAACAGTCGCCGGTCGCCCCGGGAGGGCCCCAGCGACGCGCGCGGGTCGTCCGCGGCGCGAGATCAAACAATTAGTTGGGCAATCGAAAAAAGGCGCGGCCCGGGGGCGCTCCTCAGGTCAGGCCTCGCAGATAAATTCGGTGAAGCCGAGCTCCCTGGCGAGGGGCGTCGCCTCCCTCCTGCGCCGCTTCGTGCGCGCCGCAAACAGCTCCAGCTGCTTCTGCAAGCCCTCCGGCGGCCCTGCCAGGAAGAACTCGATGCGCGGCACCCGCATGAGCAGGAGGTCATCGTGGCGCGTGGCGCGCGGAAGCAGCACATAGAGCTCCAGCCACCAGTCGTCGTCCTCCTTCTTGCCGTTCCCGACCTCGTGGCGGCCGCCGTCCAGGATCACGCCTGGGCGACGTCGGCCGAGGGAGCAGCGTCGCGGGGCGTGCACATCGGGGCAACTGCTGCCGCAAACGGCCCGCCCTACGGCAAAAACATGTGGCGTTGGCGCGCGCAAAGGTTTTAGACACCGCGTCGATCGTTCAACCTTAAGCCGGTCGCGGCCCGATGGGTCAACGTGTCCCTCAGTGCTTCCGCGTTGTTCGCCTTCGCTGGCGTCGCCAGGGCGCCATCGCCACATGAACTTACCGTATGGGGCGCGATCCGCGTGAGGGGCGTGCCGAATTTCAGCGGGGAGACTGTGGGTACGCGCTGACACGGAACCTCGCTCTGGGGCACGGCCCGCATGACGGGTGCGTCGAGCTGCTGAGGCGGGGGGGGGCAGTGGGAACGCAGCAGCAGCGGAGACAGCATGCAGCACTCAGCGCAGCAGCGGCGGCAGGAGGGGAAGGGGAGGGGGAGGAGGAAGCCGGGATACGCGGGGCGAGGCCGAAAGAAAACGAGGACCAAATTCAACAGAAACGTTGTAAACGACCAAAAAAAATCGCGGAGATTTCACGACCTGAGCTCCCGACCCCATTTTCTGCCACAGTTCCAGAACTGGAGTGATCAGCCAAGGTCCCGGGGCCTCAGCCCGGGCAGAATCGCCAGTTGTTGTCATGACGCTCGGATCTCAGGGATCCCTCCCTCCGAGAGAGCGCGTTTCACGGGCACCTGCCTTGGGAACATTCGGCGGCGAGTTTCGAAACGGGGAGTGGTGGGCATCCCCCCCAAACGCTGGGCGACGTCGATCAGAACCAGGGAGACTCCCTTCCCCACGAACCCCCCCTCCCGACCCCCCCCCCCCGGCGCCGGCGCCGGCGCCGGCGCTGGCGTTGGCGGCGGCCAGCAGCGCCGACGGCGGGGACGCAGCAACGATGACCAGAGAGGGCTCAGGGAGGGGAGGGGGGGGGGTCCAAACCCCCCACCCCCCTCGGCGACGGCGCCAGCGCCTGCGCTGGCGGCGGCCAGCGGCCAGCAGCGCCGACGGCGGGGACGCAGCAACGATGACCAGACAGGGCCAAGAGGCCGCAGAGTGGAAACACAAAGCGTCATATCGAGCCCTCGCCCCCCAAAGGCCACCGAGAGGCCCGTAGAAGGTCCAGGAGGCTTCACAAATGACCCTCAGACGCCCCCGAAACCCCTCTGACAAGACCTCAAAAGGCATCCATCAGAACTTTGACCCACAGCCAAAACACGGTGGCGGGCAGACCATAAGGCCACACCACCACAACAAATAACCACACCACCACCACCACAACCACCACAACCACCACAACCCACCACCACCACAACCACAACCGTCACCACAAACCACTACACCACCACCACCACCACCACAACAACCACCACTTCCACAACCACCACCACCACCACCACCACCACCACCCACACCCCACCACTCACCACCCACCACCCACCAACCCACCACCACCACCAGCACCACCACCAGCAGCAGAACCACCACCACCAGCATCACAGCCAACCATTACCACCGCCAAAACAAAAAAAACACCACCACCACGACCAGAAACCACAACAACCCACCACAACCACAATCACAACCACCACCACAGACCACCACATCCCCACCACCACCATCACCACTACCGCCACCACCACCACCACCACCAGAAACCACCACCACACCCACCACCACCACCCACACCCACCACCAGCACCAGCACCACCACCAGCAGCAACACGACCACCACTAACACAACAGCCCACCATTACCACCACCACCACCACCACGACAAACCACCACGCCACCACCACCACCACCGCCACCACCACTACCACCACCATCATCACCTCAACCCACCACCACCACAAACTACCACACAACCACCACCACCACAACAACAGCCCACCACCACCACAACAACCACCACACCTACTCCACCACCACAATCTGCCACACAACCACAACCACCACGACCGCCACAACCACCGCCATCACCACCACCAGCACAGCCCACCACCACCACTACAAACCACCACACCACCACCACAAACCACCACACAACCACCACACAACCACCACCAACGCCAGAGCCCACCACGACCACTACCACAACCACCACCGCCACAACCACCACCTCACCACCAGAACAACATACCACCGCCACCACCACCACAATCCACCTCACCACCACCACCACCACTACCGCCACCACCACTACCACCACCAGCACCACCTCCACAAACCACCACCAACACAACCGCCACCACCACCACGACCACAAACCACCAAATCACAGCCACCATCATCACAGCCACCAACACCACCACCACAACCCACCACCACCACAAACCACACCACCACCACCACCACAACCCTCACCACCCACCACCACAACCACCACCACCACAACAAACCACAGCAGCACCACCACCACGACAATCACCACACCACCACCACCACCACCACCACCACCACAACTCACCATCACCACAACCACTACCACCACCACAACCACCACGACAAACTACCACCCCACCACCGCCAACACCGCAACCACCACAACACACCACCACAACTACCATCACCACAAGAAACCACCACACCACCACCACAACCTACCACCAACGCCACCACCACCACCACCACAGCCTGCCACCACAACCACCGCAATAACCACCACCATCACCAACACCACCACCACTACCAACCACGACACCACCACCACCATCGCCGCCACCGCCGCCACGACCACCACCACCATTACCACAGCCCACCACCACCACCACCACCTCAGAGAGGCCCCAAGAAACGCCCTAGAGGCGCCCAGGAGACTTCACCGAGAGCCCTCCGACGAGAACCCAGGAGGCATCCATTAGGGCTCTGACCCAAAACCAAGGCACGGTGGCGAAGCGTCGTCGTCGTCGTCATCGTCGTCGACGTCGTCCTCGTTGACGCTCCCCGCCGCTGCCGCCAGCCGCCGCAGGCGCCGGCGCCGGCCCAGAAAAGGAAAACGTCGTCTTCATCGACGCTCCCCGCCGCCCCCGCCAGCCGCCGCCGACGCCGGCGCCGGCCCGAGGAGAGGGAGAGAGGAGGGGGGGGGTTCGACCCCCCCCACCTTCCATCAAGGGGGGGGGGTCCGGTTCCCAGCCCCCCCACCTCCAGGCGACCACAGAACGCGCCCTTTCCTCCCTCCGAACCTCTGCCAGTCGTGGCCCTTCCAAGACGTGAGCCCCACAGCCCTCTACACCCGTCCCCAACACGGTCGATGCCCGATGGCCCCTGGGCCCGGAGGGACCGGCCCTGGACCCATGAAATGCGAAGAAGCACTATGACCTGGACCAGCGGCGTGAGGAGGGGGGGAGTGAGAGTGGGCAGGCCTCCTCAAAGGCGGCGGGGCTTCTCGGAACGCCCTCGCGTCTTCTGAGAAGCCACCTGTGGCTTCGGAGGAGGTCTAGAAAGCTTTTCCCTGCCTTCCCCCTCTGGAGGCGCCGCCGACTTGAGGTCGGGGGCTGCCTCTCTTCAACCCTGCTGGGCCCTTTTTCACCGCAGACCTCCTAGCCACGTTTGTAGAGCTTTGGTGATACTTGGATGAGGCAAGGCAAGCAAGTGATGGGTGATTGAGAGAGACGTACCGTCCCCCCCCGAACGTCCTGAGATCCCACTTCCAAACCGACATACGCTACGGTCGGACCCAGGACAGAAAGTGCATCCCTCAAGAACGTGTGAGAGACCCTCCGCCGACCAAAACACACAAAACATACAGGGGTCCCCTCCCCAGGATGCACGAGAACATCAAACAACCAAAGAACATTAGGGTCACCGAGAGAGGATCCCCCCACCGTTTTCTTTCTCGGCGGGAACATACTCGCCCCTTCTCCTCCTCCTCCTGCTGCTCCTCCTCCTCCTCATCCTCCTCCTGCCCCCCTCCTACTTCTCCTGCTCCTGCTCCTTCTCCTGCTCCTGCTCCTGCTCCTCCTCCTCCTACTTCTCCTCCAACTTCAACTCCTCCTCCTCCTCCTCCTCCTCCGCCTCTTCCTCCTCCTCCTAGTGGGTTCGGATTTTCCGCAAGGGTCTGGAGTTGCAGAACTGCTTGCCACCGTTGCTGTCTGCTCTATTTCTCCGCTCATAGAACAAGTCCATAGGGACTGCGCGGGAGCTTAGCAGTCATACAAGAATCCAGGATATCCTGGAAGGAAAACCCATGCAGGTTTTAAAGTCCTGATGGGTGGTGCCGTCGTGTCGCACGAGAGTTGTTTCGTCAAAGTCAAAGCCCATCAGGACCTCTCGCAATAATTCAACGATAATGATGCTTATAACCACGCCACAGGTAATGACGCTGCGGACAAGGCATCGAATCGAGCCGCCACCACTCATTTTAACAGGCCTTCGGAGGCCGAAACAGAGCTTGGCAGATCCGATCGGAGTTTGTTGCGCCGTTTCCTGTTTTACGTGGCCCAGGCCCTCCCCAAGTGGCCCCCTCTTGCCCCACGCCCTGGGAAGAAAGCCCCAGCCAAGCCCGTCTCCCGCAACCCACCGATGGGAGCAGCCTCCGCTGCCTACGCCTGGGATCCTGGGGCCGCCCCTCCCCCTTCCGAGGCCTCCCCCCTCCCCCGCCTCCCTTCGTCATTCTGGCGTAGCCCATCGGTGGGAGTATAGTTACGGTAAGCACGTGCGCGCCCTATGCCGCACCAGCGACAAGGATATAGATCAACACAACCGCAGGATCAGTGACAGATGCCCAGGTGACTGCGCTGGCCTGGCCTCGCTAGCGCAAAACCCTCGAGGACACCGACTTTTCCTTTTTGAGTACGTGCTCCATGAGAGCACGATCATCTTGTGCTTTGCGTGCGGATCGTATTCGGAAACGGGAACCAGGGGCCGTCTGTTCAGCCCATGCCCCTGTGTACCTGAGTCCAGCAATGCGCATGATCAGCTTTCGAGAGCGAGGGACCTCGCCCACCCGAAGCGAGGCTCCCGCGCAGACAAGGTGTTCAAACCTCCAGTGCCCCTCGAGCTTTTCTATCGGCAGGCCCTGGCGGAAGCTCAGCAGGAAGTTTCGACTCCAGCGGATGAAAGTGCTAGCCAGACATTGCCATTCGCAGCTCAAGGGTCCAGATAGGCCCACACCAGGGACGCGGCCTGCCGCCGTCCTGGCGTTATTTACACCAGGGGTGAGCAGTGCCGCGCCGTCATGGCGTTGCCTCGAACCTAACATATGTGTGTACGTGTGTGTGTGTGTGTGTGCGCGCGCGCGTCCCCGCACGTGTGTCAGGCACCCCGCCTCAGGGGGAAGGTGCGCTTGAGTACGCAACCTCTGCGGCACAGCTGCTCGGAGGGCCTTCTCTGAGGTGTGCTGGGCACGGTGGCGAACCTGGCTCGGCCAGTCCGCCCCCGCCGTCGCTCGCCCACCCCTCCTTTCCGCGGTAGCCTGAGCCCGCTGCAGGTTTGATCCGGGGTCTTCGTATTGTCCTGGCTGGCGGTGCTGGTGTCGCGCAGCCAGCCCTGGAACATTCTCCTCCTCCTCCTCCTCCCCCTCCTCCTCCTCCTCCTCCTCCTGCTCCTCCTGCTCCTCCTCGTCCTCCTCCTCCTCCTCGTCCTCCTCCTCCTCCTCCTCCTCCTCCTCCTCCTCCTCCTCCTCCTCCTCCTCTCGGGCCGTGGAGTTCCGTCAGCCAGGCGATGCTGGACGTTCTTTTCACTGCGGCGTGCTGCCTGGCGGTTCCCTGTGGCAGGGCCGTGGAGCGCTGCCTCGCTCCCCCACGGCGACAATTGCACGGGGGGCCGCCCTCCGTGGGGTCTGGGCGCGGGGGTGGGCTTGGTCGGCCAGCCCACCCCGACCGCTGCTCTACCCCACCCCTCCCCCCCTTGCCCAGCGAGGGTGGCGGAGACGAGAGCCGAGGGGGTCTGGAGTGCAAGCGCCACATCTGGGCCCAACGCTCTCTTCCAGCGTCGGCAGCGTCCTGCCGTCTCAGCGGTCTGTTGGTTCACCCGCGGCCGTTGTGGAGAAGATAGGTGGCCCAGTGCCACGAGGTTTTGGGTTAGGGTCGGGTCGGCCAACCCTTAGCCTCCCTCATCAGCCATTTGATGGTCCTCCTCCTCCCCCTCCTCCCTCCTCCTCCTCCTCCTCCTCCCCCTCCTCCTCCTCTTCCTCCGCCTCCTCCTCCTCGAAATCCTCCTCTTCCTCCTCCTCCTCCTCCTCCTCCTCCTCCTCCTCCTCCTCCTCCTCCCCCTCCTCCACGGGTGCCCTCCCCGAACCGACCTCGATCTGATGACTACCTCGGTCCGACACGTCACGAAGCGGCGGCGGCAGGCCAAGCCTACTCGTCCACGCCCGCGTCGGCGCTCCTCGGGCCCGCTGCGGCAGCCCACGAGGTGCTCGAGGAGGCGACGGCCTCCACCGCCAGCTGGCGGGCCGACCTGCGCTGGCGGCACGAGCGGCACGAGTGAAAAGCTCGGGGAGAATTAAAGGGTGGGATTAGGAGGAAAACAAACCTACCTCGCTTTTGACCACCCTCGCTTCCAAGAGATATCAAGCGATGCCAAACTACGGCCTGTAGTGGTCAGGCCGCTTGACGAGGAGGCGCGTGGTATGACTTGGTTTTGCCTGGAAGCGAAAGCGGGGTAGGTAATTCACGGTCTAAGGGATAGCAGAGGGCATGGTAGAAACTCAGCTCACACAGCTGGTCTTCCTGGCGCCTTCTGGCGCCTGGAGGCGCCCACGTATCGAAGAGTGGGCCCAGCGGCGGGGCCGAGACCAGCTGCATGCATGCATGCATGCAGCAGATCTCGTACCCCCCCTTTCCCTATCCCCCCCCCTCTCGTTCGGCCCGAGAGGCGCGGAACTGTCCATGTCCACCGCCTGGGAGTCCGCACTCCCGGGGCCCCGATGGGCCGTGGATATGGACACGTCTGGGCGCCCTGGGGCCGCTGCCCCCCCCGAGGTCCAGGAAGGTCGGACTCCCAGGCGGCGGAAATGGATACACCCAAGCCTCGGAATCGGAGAGCACAAGCTGGTCGTCTCTCAGGGTGGCAACTTCTGCGAGGCTTCCGCGGGCAAGAGTGGGAGCCGATGGGCTGGATTACACAGCCATTCAAGCCAGATTCTGGAATCAACAGGCCACGGCAAGCCATATGAAGCCGAGGAAAGTTCAGGGCATACGACTCAGTCGACCTCCCAAGCGTTGCGGCCCAGCGTTCCCCAAAGCGGTGAAAACCTTGAGACGCCAGAAATCAGGAAACATAGAGGCCTCCAAGATAAGGGTCGGAGTTAATGGGGTCGAAAGATCGCGCCGCATCGCCCATGTATTGCCGATGCATTGGCGATGCATTGGCGATGCACCAGCGACGTCGGGGATGCATTGGCGCAGTCGGCGTCGAGAAAAACATCGGGCTCCGCATCGAGCTGCATCGCCGACGCATCGGCGATGCGGCGCGATCCTCCAACCGCATCTACTCTGAGGTCGGGCATGTCCCCCTACAGGCGGATTGGGGACGAATAATAAACAACACCTCTAAAAATACACCAAAATGATTCCAGAGTGGTCCAAACATCGTCCCCAGACTAGTTGTGAACTGCTTTTGAGCATTCCCCCTGTAGAGGGACGGGCCCGGCCGAAATCTACTCCGACGCCATCTGGGAGGCCTGGACACGGTGCGCCCCTGAACGTGCGTGAGCCCCAAGACAGATCGTGCGGCGCGGGTTCCGCCGCGGAGGGCCGGCGATGCAGCCCAGCACTGGGGTCTGGTCGAGCATGTCCTCCCACAGGCGGGCACGGAGCCGTGCCCCGACAGAGCCCAGCGAACAGCAAAGCGGCCCGTCCAAAGTGCTAGAGCACGCGAGGGCTCTAGCTTCAGATCGAATCACAGCGAAGACACTCCAGAAGGCAGAAAGTTGTCTGCATCTCTAAGGAGTGAGATGCGATACGACGCATGGTCCTTTCCTTAAGCAACGAGAGTAAGGATCACAATGCGAAAGAGCAGGGGGAGGAGGGAACGCAAAGAGGAGGGCGGAGGAAGGGAGGGGGGCACGAGAGCAGGCAGAGGATATTGAAGGTGAGGAAAAAAGGAGCGAACGACCAGGACGGGGACATCCGAGCACGCAGAGCCCCAGCGGGAAACATATGAAAGGGTGGGAGAAACGATGGGAAAGGCATCGGGATCCATCAACAGCGGGGTGGGCGGGAGGGCGAGGAGGGAGGACGAGGCGGAGGAGGACGGCGCGAATGATTATCATCCCCTCCCCCGGCGGACGCCGCGCCACATTCCTACCATCATGTGTGGAGGAGGCGGAGGGTGAGGAGGGCATGTGAGCTGGCTCCGTCTCCTCCTCCTCCTCCTCCTCCTCCTCCTCCGCCTCCTCCTCCTCCTTGATCTCCCCATGCCCCAGTCCTCCGCGTCCCAAAGTTGCCTCATCCTCATCGAAGTCCACGCTGTCCTCCTCGGCACCCTCGGCATCCTTCTGATACCCACCCTCTTTCCACTCCCGCCCGTCCTCCTAGGTTGCCCTGTGCGTCTCCTCCGCCCATCTTCCCCCACCCGCTGCTCCTCCTCTTCAATCTCCTCGAGGGCCTCCGTCTCCAACTGTACATCCCTTCTCCCTGAACACCCCCTCCATCTCCTCGTCGCCATCCCCCATCCTCGCTGTTGTCATTCTTGGGGGGACGGCAACGATGACGACGACGCGACCGACTCCTCTTACGTAATCCTTGTCGTCGTCGTCGTCGTCGTCGAGGTGCTCCTCTTCATCCAGCGACGCCGATCGCTCAACCTTCCTCGCCCCCCGAGCAAGAGGCTGCGGGAGAACGAGAAGGGGGCGGAGAGGAGGAGCGGATGCTAGGCCAGGGGCAGAGGGCAGGATAATAGGAGGACGAGGACGACGAGACAGGCGAAAAGGATGAGGAGCAGGAGCAGGAGCCGGTGAGGAGGAGACGACGGCGACGGCGACGGCGACGGCGACGACGACGGCGACGACGACGGCGACGGCGACGGCGACGGCGACGGCGAAGACGACGGCGACGGCGAAGGCGTTGGCGGGGGCCGCGGACGGTGCCGCGTCCGCCACGGCGGCGGCGGCGGCGGCGACCGCCCACGACGCTCCCGGGACGGAAGAGGGGGCGCCGCAATCGCGCGCCCCGCGGGGGAGGCCAGGAGGGCAGCCGAGCGCCGCGGGCCGCCCGTGGGCGAAACACAGACACACACACACACACACATACATACTCCAGATTTCGTAATAAAGGGAGGGGGGTCTCGTTTCGGGGGGGTCTCTTCCAGGCTATCTTGGAGGGCCTGGGGGGTCTGGGGACGATGTTTTGGAGGGTTCTCCCACGGGGGGGTCTGAAATGGCTTGTCTTGGAGGGTCCAGACCCCCTCCCTTTTATTACGAAATCTGGAGTACACATGCCCGCATCCGCGGCCACGCGTGGATTGCACCACGTGGCTTGCACCACCTGGACCACTGCAGCGAGTGTGCACCACCCGGGCTGAGAGTGCACAGCCTGCAGGAATGCACTGCCCGGGGGGTCCGCGCTGGCGAACGGATACGATTGAAACACTGTTCTGTAGTAGCGCTCTCGACTGCCGATTCTCGTAGGAAGGCACCAACTATACACCAATACCGATGCTGGCCAGGATCACCCTGGGCTCAGGATCGGTGTATACGCCCTCCTGCCTTGGGCAAGAAGGCATATACACTGATCCTGGGCCCAGGGTGGTCCTGGGCCAGGATCGGTGTTGGTGTATAGTTGGTGCCCTCCGATCTCGATCAGTCGCCGTCGTCGTCGACGTCGACCCCGCGGACACGGAGCGCGCTCTCGAAGCCTACCCACGCGGCGCGCACCCCGGTGCGACCGCGCGTCTCCGCAGGCCCGCGCCCTCGGAGCCCCGACCGCGGCACGGCGCGGCTGCGGACAATGTGCCGCCGCTCGGCGAACCGACGGAGGAGGAGGAGGAGGAGGAGGAGGAGGAGGAGGAGGAGGAGGAGGAGGAGGAGGAGGAGGAGGGGGAGGAGGGGGAGGAGGAGGAGGAGGAGGAGGAGGAGTGGAGTGGAGCAATCGGACGTAGTCCGTTCGGAACCCAGGGCGGCCAGGGGGGCCATCCAGTTTTTCTCGGAGGGCCGTGGGGGGCGACATCCCACGGCCCACCGCGACAGGCCCCCCTGGCCTCGCAATTTACTCGGTGGCAGCACCCGCCGCGAAGGAACCGATCGCGGCTTCGGCTGCCGAAACGTGCAAAGCTTCTAGCACTGCCTTGCTGGGACCCGCTCTGGACGGGTGGAGGCCTCGCCTGATCCTGCTGAGGTTCTCGAGGCCTTTGCCAGTGGGTCCCAGGGCCCTGCGCTCTCCCACTTGGAGGGAGAGAGGGCACGGCAAAAGAAGGCTTTTGACCTGGTGCGTGGCCGTATGGCCGCACTTCACACAAAAGAACAACTGCCACTTGGGGATGGTGGCCAAAAAGTGGGAGGGGTGGATCAACTTGCCACTGATCACGCGGGGACCCCTCGACCACAGCACCTCACCACACGCAGCGAACTCGGGAAGGGGGCAGGGCGGCACACACTCAGTGGCGGCAGCTGGAATAACATGGCACGCGTCAACGATGATGAGGCAGGCAGGGCATCTCCATTTGTCTGCACACCGCTCGAATTTGTGTTGAGAAGCCGCGATCGCGGTCTGCAACTGAGAGCGAGGGGCTGCCACCTGGGTGGGTAGCCTTTCTGGCCACTGACCTCTAGGCTCAGAATTCTTGCCTAAGGAACGTAAGATCAGTCGGGCCCTCTGTCGGACGATGGCTGCAATAGCGTCATATTCATCAGTCCTGGGGACAGGCGGGAAGGCAAGGGTGGCCGACTTGTGGGCCGCGCTTCCCGCGAGCTCATCGGCATGCTGGTTGCCGAGAGCCATAAATTTTTGAAAACCATTCAAAGTGAGGGGATCGGCGTGAGATGGGGTCCAGAGCACCGAGACCGAAGAGCAGCCGCCAGATCGATCCTGCACGAGGTGCCGAATTCTCAGCCAGAGATCCCCATTCTTATTCTTGCCTCTGAGGCTGCCAGGTCGGAGACATCTGCCATTCTGCCAGCCGCGCTGAAGGGCTAGGTGATCAGTAACAAACGTGAAATCCTGCTGGCACGTCTCGAGAGCCAGGCAAAACGCATGCAATTCTCCTCTTGGGACTGTCTGACGGGGGCCTGGGAGGGGGGCGAGGAGGCCAGCATGGAGGGCCCAGGAGGCCGAGGGAGGGTCCCAACGGAGGGCCGCGAGGCCAGAACCAACACGTCTTCGCCTGACGTCGTCGGAAAAGGCGCCGCCAGAACCGTCGCCAAAAAGAAACAACTCGCCCTCGGCGTTACGAGCTCCTTCCCACGACGGCACCCCATCCCGCACCGCACCAACAAACTCCCACCCGTCCCTCCCAGTCAATGGCTCGA